TTAGGGCCTACCAAACGTGCTGTGATTTATGCTGCCACCTGCTGGTGAATTGAGAACACTGAAAGCCTCTGTGTGTTGTGTTTAAACAGCAAAGAAATCAGCTTTAAAGAGGGACCCATTCTTAAAGAAACATGTGCCCTATTGCTCCTAGGATTCAAACCTTTTACTTTGAAAATAAACAAAGTAGACTGACTGATTTTAACCAGATTTTGGCCATTATAAACGTAAGACTTGCTTATAAAGCAGATAGTAAACATACAGCAGCAGCAGCTGTCTTCTTTTCCACTTTGGTGGCAGCGTCACTGCCGACTGCTGCAGGCTTCTCCAGCACTGCCTGAAACCACAAACAGAGCAGAGGACAAAATTATATAAATTATGTTTAAAACGAATAAAGGGAAACAAGTGAGGAAGCTACAAACTCTCTGTGCAACAAAGCTTACAAAACATACAAAATCACTGCTTAACCATACGCAGTGTCTGGTTGAGTCGTGTAAAAGGAAAAACACATCTGAAGGTTTACCACCATGTAGCCAACAGGATGAAGGTACACAGAGGGAGACAGTTTGCTGTCAAGTACTGTTTGGTGATTAAATGTTAAGAGCACGCAGGCTACAGTTTTTCCAGTTTCAGTCGGGACACCAGCTCCGATCTCAACTAGGTGAGAGGTGAAGCCAAGGGTACAGCCACTCAGCTGAGTGCTGAGTATGTGGTTCATGTTTTTAAATCTGCCTTTTGTACCCGATTCATAATTAACTCCAGTAAAACTTCCAGTGAATTGCATTTTAATTTCATAAAGACAACATTTATTACGCCTCACAATAAAAGTATTTATCACAGGGCTGTCATAAAGTTCTGCTTTTAACTATACAGACAACACCCTGTGAGCTCGTGTTTATTAAAAGCACGACCATGGAGCAGGATTTACATATGTTTATTTTATTAAAGCAACAAAATTGTTCCCAGCTAATAATTACTGTGTTGACCAGGACTCACTGCCAATTTCAAGTTAATAACCGTGTCAATAAACACAGCTGTTCCACTGATGCGGGGCCAGTGTGGAGTCAGGTCTGGCTTGGTACCAGATCACCTTCTGACTGTTTTATTTGAAGCAGCATCATTGGCAGAGGTTTAAGTGTTTTCAATAAGAAGAAAATCCAGATGGACACAGCCGGCACCTCCACATTGTCCTCCGTATCCACTAACACCAGTACTTCCAAGTCTGGCCAAGATATTTAATGGTGGTCTGCTGGTGTAGCTTTGTGGCCACTTATTTTTTTTATAGTGATGATCTCCATAAGTCATTAGTAACATCTCTGTGTAACAGCACCACTAGAGGCGATATCATTATTATAATTATAGGTATTGTCATAAGGAATTAGCTACAACATCCCCAGACTTTATATGTGCTGGTCAAAAGGACCAAACACTGTAGGAGGGACCTGGGTTCACACTAAGGTTGGGCGATATGTAAAAATTTTCCAGCTGACAATCGTCAGTCCAGTAATTGACAATAGGCGATATATTCAGGCATGCAAACTTACTCATAAGCAAATTAATTAATTAATCGCCCTTGTAAAAATGAATGACGGTAGCCTCAGCCTATCGTCGATATATTCGTCCAATTGCCCAACCTTAGTTCACACCATCAGTAATGATTAAAACATAAGCCCTGAAGACTCAGCAAACTGATTTTCTATTGATGAAGACCTCCACATCTCCATTTCTATTACACCAGAGGAATTAAGTAGTAGATAAACAATCAAAGGATAGAAAAGCCCATGTTTTCCCTCAGAATCTACTTTAGAAATATTTGTTTTAATGTAATGCTTATGGATCCAGCACTATATGAGACCTCTCAGCAAATACAAAAACACAGAGTTTATCCCAGATCAAAGTTGACCTCTTGGGAGGATAAACTGGACTGGTTGGATAAATTTGTGGCAATGACTCTGGGGTATCTTACTGTCCATTTTCCTGACACTTCTGACAATATGATAAACCAAACCTTTATTTTGAAATACATTTTAGGCTAAAAAATTATTTTTTTTATCTCAGTGGTGGTGATTTTCTGTTGATAGCTCTTTTGTTTTCAAAGCAGGAAAAACTCTGATTTGCAGATAACAGTGGAAAATATTTCCTTGTTACTTCATAGCAATTTTGCTAAGCCAAAAGTTCACAGTCAATCTGAGGAAGACCTGCAAGACTTTAAAACTGCTTAGACATATTTATCATTAAGACTTGTTTTACTATACACAAAGAAATAATATCATTATTAACAATTATAATAACAAAAGTAACAACACACACACACGATCACTGACTTTACAACTGCTGATAAATTTATGAATTTTTGTTTAAAACATTGTGGTAATGTCGGGTGTGCAAGCATCATGGCGAAACTCCACGTATGACATCATCGGCCTATTGGTTTTATCGTGAACGCTTGCCTGAGCAACTGCAGTGTCACCTTTAATACCTAGGTCACGTGAACAGTGAACTTTCCCCCAGTTTGAGCGGGAGGGGGTGCTGGAGTTATATCAGCCGCAAGCTGCGATTACCCAAACAAGGACACAGTCTCGATCAAATGTAGTGGAGCCACAGCGTGAAGCTGCCGTGTTAAACAGAGTAATGTGTACTTAATGCATTATAATGAAATACGATATAATAACGCAACGCACCTCGGCTGCCTGGCTTGCGTAGAGACGGCCGTTTTGCCCAACAAACACCACCGCGGCCTGACGCTGACCTCTGCAGATCAGACAAGACACGATATGTTTGTAAAACATAAACATCTCATTCTAAAGTCTCTATAGCAATAATTAATGATGATTACTCACCCGGTTAGCACGGCAGGAAGCCGGAGAACGGTGCTGCACAGGGCGGAAGACTGGCTCACTTTGCGAAGCAGCATGATTTTATTTTGTTCTTTAAATAAAGAAGAAGAAGACGTTATACACAATCATTTGCCGCAACTAGCATTAATAACGAAGCAGGGACAGATGTCATGCAAGTCAGCTTAGCTGTTGACGGCGTCTAGCTAACACAATTGTACCAAACGTCGGTCTGTTCTGTAAGCTGGGCTCGGTGCTTAAGCCCGCGCACAAAAAGCCTGAGGAAATGCTTCATATCCTTCTACGAAAGGCCAAAAAGATCAGCGTACGCAACACACCTGTCTATGTAAGAACAACGCGTCCCTTCCGTCAAAGATGCTGCCAACAGTCCGGTAAAAATGAACCGTCCACAGTGTTGCCAACTCCTCAGTAAGGGAAATCGCTATTGGCTGTCATAAAAGTCAGCGGATGACGTCATCGCCTAATTTACATAATTGGTCATGTTTATGTAATTGTAACCAGCGCTGGGAGAGGCATAAAGTGAGTAAAAAAACACCCCTAATGCATTTAGAATATTTTTAAAACTACAAATTAAATTTCTTTTAGCGATTATTGCTTTTTTAATCTCACAATTCCAACCCTCCTCCTTTATCAGGGCTTGGGACCGGCAAAACTGACCCGAAATAGGCACTCTTTATATATATGTGTGTGTATGTGTGTTTAAGTAGTTGCAAACCTTGTGGTCCACAAAAAGTAACAGAAAAACATATGTAACCATAACGTTTGTAACAAACTACATTAACAATCGAAATGGACAAAAAAAAGAGACACACTAGAAACAGTGGCAATGTGAAAAATGATGGGAACTAGTCTGGTTCTAATGCAGGCTAATTGTTTTTTGTTTGTTTGGTTTTTTTCCAGACACCCCTCCACACGCACAGGCCGTGCTGGCTCACAGAAGGAGTGGGTCATCCTCGTTTTGGTTGAGAGCCTTTATGGCAGGATCAGCATCTGTAGCATTTGACTTAATGGAAGTTAGCATGCAGCTGATGTGCAGCTGCAAAACCTTATCAAGCAGCTGGTGTTCATAGGAAGCCCCACCAGACAGCTTCAGTCTATATATGAGATGTACAAGATGGAGTTAAGGCTCTCCAAGGACATCCGATTTCTAAGTTTGCAATGATGTGTTTTAGTGCATTGATTTATTTTAGACGGCGAGGTGCCCACGGCAGCACCCGCTGCTGTAAGAGCGATACGTGCTTTCACGTCAAAAAGTCGTCATAAGTCTCCAATAACACCAGGAAAAGTCGCCAGATTTGTCACTGGTCGCTTTTCAGAAAAAAAAACGTTGGCAACACTGACCGTGCACAACAGCGGTCTCCTGTGGACGTAAGAGGCAGAGCCTGCCTCAAACTAGGAGAAAATTTGACGTGGGCGGAGCGTCCGGGAGGGAAACGGAGGTGCTCTTGGGGACGGGGGGAATACCATTACTGACATGCGTAGTGTAGTGCGTTTTTAAAACGCCCCCCTGCGGCTGTATTTTTTATTACAATCAACAGACGTTCTTCTTCTACTACTTTTCGATAGTGTTGGAACATCGCATGAACGCCCCCTGCTGTCCGGTATGCATGGACAAACCAATGACTGTAGAAAACAGAAAACTTTTCTACAGTCATTGGGACAAACGTGTACGATGTGATCCATCAGCGTAAAGTAAGATTTACAAATGGTTATAGCTGTACTTGTGTGTAATTCCAGCCCACACACACACACACACAAGTACAAATCGGTCTGAACATTATTCTAGAAAAGTGTGTGGTCAACGTGTAGTAACCAGCTAACATGTGTTAATGCACAATTGTATTTGATTTGTTGCTAAAATGTGCTACTTGATTGCTTTCTGTTAGTTGATTTGGATCTAACTGTATTATTAAAATAAATTCTAAAGACTTCTAGCTTTCCCGTATCAACACCGGTTCTCTCGTATGAGAATTTCTGTTTCTATTATTACATCTATTAAAAACATGATGCTAAGCTAAATTCAAATCCCACATACCTTAAGAGTTTTTGCAGCATCTGTACTGCAGTCTGTCAATGTGATAAAGTTCATGGTCACAAGCTTCATTCAAATCTTCACATGTCTAGTTAAAATAAACAACTCTGAACCGTAAGTATGTATCAAATTTATTCTCAAATACACAAGCAAAGGTGGCAATATGAAATCAAGCAATGTGACACTATAAATGTCAGCTTTCTGAAATGTTGACTCTTCATTTAGCACCTTAATAGTTAGTTGGGTTACACATGATTTATATAGTCACACATAGAAAAAGGAACGGGTGAATAATGCGAGTCAGTAACATAAAAATAAGCATGGAGAGCTGGGGCATTTGGATCACAGTTACTGAGGATATACACTGCATGTAGGTAAAAGTACCGCTGTGGACGTCTAGTGCCACGAGTACCATCGAGCCTCTACAGCCTGACATCAAAAAACACCCCCACCCCGCATTCCTCACAACAAGAGTTATCTCATGACTAGGCCTAGACAGTGATTACTAAAAAAAAGTTCTTCTGACATTTTTGGACCTTTCTTTCTTTTCACATTACAGTTTGCTGGTCTGTAGAGTTGCATATACACAGGAGTAATAGATATATACAGAGGGGCTCACTGTCAAACAATGCTGAAACAAAAGATGCTTGCTGTACCTGGAGTGTGAAAACGTAAATAATAATGGAAAGGCACTTGATTTGCTCCTGTGCAGCCAATGAATCTGGCCTGAGTGCCTGGGTGTGTCTGGCGCCCTCTAGTGCCAAACTGTGGTCTCAGTTGTTTCTGGATGGGCAGCTCAAGGGCAAGTGGCTGAACTGGAAGGGTCTTCCCATGATAAAATATTAAGTGAGTGTTTGAAGGAGTGTAATGATCAAATGCTAAATATTGTACAGTTTTCTGTAGGAGGGAAACAATAACCTCCTGGGTTAAGGCCTGAAAAATAAAAACAGGCTGCGCTCTGTAGTGGATTTGAAGAAGAGAAGCTAAACTTTCTACATAGATCAATTGAGATTTGTCCTATCGTCGTTCTTACTTTAAAACCCTGTTCGACCAAATTTAGTGTCAAGCGCCCCGACTCCAACAGGCACACACGAGTTCAATAAGCTACCATCAGATCCTCGTCGACACAAGTGGGAACACTAACTTCACATGAACGGACACCAAACACAAGGAAGAGAAAAAAAAAAACTACATGACGTCCACGAAGAACTCGCTGGGGTTTCCCATGGCCAGGTGGAACGACTGCCGTGACGCAGTGAGCTCTGGGGGTACGGAACCCAGCTCACGAGTGGGCGGAGCACCAGGTGGTCCTCCAGGAGTGGAGGAAGGAGGTGGAGGTAACGCGGGGTGCATGGGAGCTGCCGCCATCGGCTGCGTGTGCTGAAGGCCGTGGGCGGTTGCCATGGCCGGGTGTGGATGCTGGGGTACCATCATCACCATCATGGGGTTGTACGGCAGGATTCCCGGCGGGTAGGGGGACATGTGGGGCGGTTGGGGTATGCGGTGATGATGCGAGCGTTGGGAGGAGGCGTGGCTGTGCTCGCTGGGGGCGGCTGAACCGTGGCCGCGCCTCAGACTGCTGCGCGTCGAGTACTCAGACTCGCTGCCGCTGCCGGAGCGCGAGTCGGCCCCGCCACCTTCTCCACCACCGCCGGACGGGGATTTCTCCCCTCCGCCCACAGTGCTACCAGGGCCTTTACTGCTGCGACGCCGCTCACCCTCGCTTCTCGTCGAGCCGCTGCTCCGGCTCCCTGCAGCAACACGGGAGAGAAAATACTGTTTGATAACAAGTCAAACAAATCTGAGCTCTGATGACACTGCTTAGCTGATTTACCAGTTGTACTAAAATCATTTACACTTTTCTGTGAAGTCTTTCTTGTGTAATTTCTTAGCATTTTCCACACAGCTGACTGCTGCCTCCCGGTGGAGGTGGGTTAGAACAACTTAGTTGCATGGATTGTGTGATGGCTCAGACAGAACAGGAAAGATGCACCTCAGGACACACATGGGACAAAGACACATTAGCAAACTTAAGCTGCCTTTGTCTACAGTTTTATTTATAGAAAAACTGAATTAAAAGTGTTCATAGGAGGTGGTTCATTTATGATATTACTTATTACTGTGATCTAAATTTACTACTCTTGCATTGAAGTTGTGTCCTAGCAGCAGGCGATGGAACCATTGGCCCTAACACTTTGCATATGACTGGGTACAGCCACCAGACTGTGCTGTTTATGCTTTTAAACAAAGATTTCAAGAAAATGCATCATTTTCTTTTGTATTTGATTAAAGTGAAGATTACCGATTGAGTGGGCTGAAGCATTCTAGACTTTGGCAATGGCTGGTTGCAAACTCCTGTGTGCAGATGTCTTCAACCTTTAACTCTACATATGCAACTATCCTCTCTCCTTTGCACAACAGGAATTGCTGCTCATTTTGATTTTTCACTTTTTAATAGCCGAATTTTGAATCACAGATGCTACAGACGCTCTCCTGAGTCTCTGGTGTAGTGGTGAACACATTCATCTTACACGTGAAAGATAAAATGTGTCGTCTGAGACCAGGAGGAGGCAGAATCCCAGTCTAAGAGGTAGTGTACTTTATTTTGTGGAAATGCAGTGTTCTCATGCATGAAGGCACTTTTGGCTCACACAAAGGAGGTTTAGGCCAAAAGCAGTAAAATGTTTTATTAAAAGCCCGTCATTTACTCAGCTTCAGACATTTTTATTCATTAAATGGGCAGAAAATAATATAATGCAGACTTATTGCAGTTAGTGGACATGGATCAGGGATGTGCTGTCATCTTCAAATGACCCATCTGAGCCAAGAAAAACCCTGAAATGGTAGAAATTGAGCAATAGGCTCATATGTCCTGTTTTATTGTATTTTCTAATATTATATCCATGATTAATAGCCCTGTGTGCAGTCATCAAGAGCCACAGGATATATTATACACAATGTCAGAGCACACTATGTAGCTCTGTCATGAAAAGCTAAACTTCTTGAGTAATATTTTGGAGTGGCCCTTCAAACAGGAAGAGTTTGCTCACAGCGGCCTCACCTACAGCATCTCACTCTAAAAATAAATACTGGATAAAAGAACATTTCTCTCCGCTTACCTTCGCTGTGTTGGCTGCCAGTGCTGCCCGGGGCGTAGCTGTAACTGGTAAGCTCGTGGTACGGAGGCGGCTGGCTGGAGAAGGGATGTGTTGGGTATGGCTGATAGGGGAAGGTGTGCATCATGGGCCACGGGGAAGCCCCAGGGAGCGGCAAGGGGGCCAGGGTGTCCTGGTCCGAGGCGCCGCTGGAACCGTCGTTGTCATTCAGAGACAGATTGGCCATATCTGTGTGGGAGACACGAGGGAGAGGGTGAATAATGGTGCAAAAATGTTCCTTCAAGATTTACAGCTAACAGAGAATAATTTTTAGGTTTGCATGATGAATGGCTTCAAATATCAACCTCTGACGTGAAAAGATCTTTTCTTGCACCAAACCCGAAAAAAAGATGACTACATCTGAACCGTTAATATGGTGCAGCTGGTGGACAATGATTGGTCTTCTTTCCTGAGATTTCATTTTAGCGATGGCAGGACATTAAAGAATCCTTTGATAACTATGACGTCAAATGTCTAACCCCTTCTACAACCGGTGCGTCCACCAGTGCCCATGTGCAAAATGTGATTAAGGATAAAACTCAGCAGTCGGATGTGTTGCTCAGTGTTTGATGTCAGGGTTTTGCAGCCACTCACAGTTCTCACAGTCGCTCAAGTCTCCGAATACATAGTAGCACTGTTCGGAGAATGTGATCTTATTGACCGTGTGACGAATGAAGCCGGCCTTCAGCAGGTTGCTGGCGTACTTCCTGGCTTCACGGCGGTCCTGAAATCCCTCGATGTGGTGAAACAACCACTCAACTACGTCTGAACCTGATGAGGGGTGCAGAGAAATCATTCTAATCATCATTAAGAAACATTTTGTCCCATAGATGCCAGGTTTACGTAATAAAATTCAATGAATCATGAAATAAAGAGTTTTGACTGATCTTTTAAAAACAAACTAGCAAAACAAAAACACACACTAGGCTCAGTGCGTGCTCACATAAAAAGATTTGTTTCACACATGACTCTTTTTCTAAACATAATCCCAGTGAGAGCCCCTACTGCAACCAGAAAACGTATTAAATGAACATGATAATTAAAGAACATCTTATTATAATGAACATACCATACATATTTCTGCATGGACCTTTTTCCCTCTCGTGCAAAACTTTGCACGAGCATACCTCAGTTATTAACATATGTTTTTTAAATAATCATAAATCCCAGTTCATGTTTCATGTTCATCCCCTGTGAATGCTTTTGTTTTAAGCGTCATGTTTGTCATGTGGCTTAACAGTCACTAAAATTTGCACCCATGATGGAATTTTGTTCAAATCACCAGTAAACACAGAAGGAAAAATTAGAAAAAGAGCGCCGCAGGCCGGTAAATATAACAGTAAAACCCAACATTGTTACAAAAAAAGGGGACCTGAGATTAATGGTTCAGTGCGGCGATTTATCGAGTCATGTAAACCGGAGCATTTCACCCACATTTGTGACTAAAAACAGACCCGCAATAGAAACATATTTAGGTGCAGAGTGTGAATAAAAAGTTTAACATTAGGTCACGCTGGCACACTTTAATGTGGAGCCGGAGTCTGTTTACACACCGCGAGGAGCAAAGAGGCGGCGCCGTTATTGAACAATAATTAAACAAGAAGGAGCAGTTGATCCATAATAAGACAATAATGTTTCTTATCTTTATTATTACTCCATTAATCGATTGACTTGATAGATTACTCGATGTGTAAAATAATCAATAGGTAAATACAAATTTGAATTTTTCAGTTCAAGTTGTCACTATGTGCGGAGGATTTTAGAATTCAGGTTATGTGTTAAGCCGTAGTTACCACACTTAATGTTGTTTGTCTCCCTCTGGAGGCCACATCAATATGAAAACAACAGATGTTTTCATATCTGATGTTATGCCTGTAGACAGTTTGAGAAACAGCAGATTGAGTTTGAGAAAAAACATTGAACTTTAAATGCAGCACCATAACAGCTGCAGTGAAGAGCAACAAAAGCAACACCGCCATCAAATGTACCACACCACACAGCTGGCTGGGTGTGGTTACACATTTTATTCCTAATACACTTCCTTATATTTAACTTCCCCATGTCTGTAACCTCACTGCTTGCATTCTGTTTGAGAGTTTGTTTTAAAGTGAAGGGTTCCCAGTGCTGGATGCAGACCACCGAGTCATGTATTTATGTGGAGAAACTGAAACATCAACACCGCCGGGCTTACTTCTGGCTTACATCTAAAGTACCGAGTGGAAATCTAACCAGCGGATTATTTATAAATCAAATATCTTTAAGAGGAATTTAGAAGGAAAACGAAAAGCTCAAAAACTAGCCAGGTGAAATGAACACCTCTGACTGAAAAAAAACCTGCCTGACGCCTGAGGTGTGCCTGTAAGCTGCTGTGTTAGAGTGCATTAAGAAGTTAGGGGGGAAAGTAATAAGATCAGAGACTGAATATAACACCAAATTTTCATTTCAAAAAGCACAAAGTAGACAAACACGTAGTAATTATCCCTTGTGATTCAGCTGCATGCGATTCCAATTTAACACATGTTTTCATTCAAAACAGGCATTCACGTTTGTACTTGAGGGGTTTTTCCTCCCACAAGTCACACGGTTTTAATTCTGTGAACATAATGCCTGCCCTGTAAAGTCCTGTGAGCCGCAAAAAGTTCATGGAACGAGTGTAGTCTCTCTTGCCTCGTTTCCACTTTTTGTCTTACCTAGGAAAGCGTTGGGAATGGTGATTTTAAGCCACATGCGGTCCCGGACTTCCAGACCCGACTCTGGTGAGGCCATGGCTTTGGCGACAGATGCCATGTCAGAGTGCAGTGATAAGTTAAAGTCATCAAAACCTGGAGAAGGATGAAGAGTGGTTAAGGAAAAACCTCAGGAGGGAAAAACATGCAAGAAAGCATGACAGATGAAAACAGAACGGGGCCAAAAACAAGAAAGCAAGGAGTGGAACTTCAAAGAGATCAAAAGCAGGAAAGCAGCAGACGTCATTTATCACACAACAGCCGCGACAAAAGCAGAAAGACAGATGTGAAAGACGACTCCTGTGCCAGTGTCGGTGGGAGACAAAGACGGACACAGACTGAAGAAGGGGAAAGAGATACTTTAGAATAATGAACTGAATTCAGACTGAATATCACGAGTCTGGATATGAAACTAGACAACTAGACACGAAGGACAGTTTTATGAAAATAATACACAGCCATGAAAAGGCTGATATTACTAAAGGGGATATTATAGAGTAGGGTGAACGCAAAGACGCTTACGTTCAGTCTCGGTGACGGAGGACGAGGACGTGATGGTGCTGAGGGAGGAACTGCCTGGGTAGGGAGGGTAAGCCCCGGTCATGGCCACGGAGTGACTGACCCATGCTGCAGGGTCAATGGGTCGGACCGGCTCATCTGCAGGGTGAGGAAAACAATTAGGAAACAGTTACTGACACAAACATGGATCCGTGTGTTGTGTCTCAGGCAGAGCTGTACGTACTGCGAGGCAGAGTGAAGTAGCCCTGAGGAGACGGGTCCCAGCACTTTGCCACTGTGAGGATGATGGGCCTGGAAAAGAGTACGCAAACATCACGACTACGGTCAGATCACATCGTCCACGCTAATACTGGGGTGAAGATTTACCCGATACAAAAACGTCACATGGCAACAAGACAAGGCAGGGCATGTCTGAGAGTGAGAGCTGTGTGTCAGCCTCCAATGATCATTTATTAATAAAACAAAACAAAAAAAGACAGATACTTCTACAACCAAAGCACAGTACTTTGCAAAATATGCAAGAAAACTGAAGGTGGAGAGAACGAACACCTTTCACCACTTGAGAAAAAAACACAAGGCTACGAAGAAGGAGATACTAGCAGTGACGTGCGATTTAAACAAATCTCCACACAGCGTCACTGGAGCGCTCACTAGCTACACATCATAAGACAAGAAGAGCAAATGATGGATCAAAGTTACTGAAACAGGACTTTAAGAAGCTGGATTAAAGCCCAACCCAAGATATAACATCACAGAAGGACAAGAAGGAAAATCCCCTTTATTTACTTACACTTCTAAACGCTGCTGCCTTAATAAAACTGCAAGCATCAATAAAATGCTGTTCAGTAAACTTTTCCTATATTCTCAGAAATATCATTATAGCTTCTCTAAATATCATGATATAATTTTGAGACTATACCACCCATCCTTGATAACAACAAAAGCTTACTACCTGTTGACAAGACAAAACCTGAAAACATTTGATATCATCTAAAAAGTCAGATGGAAAAAAAAAAACAACATACCCTGGCTTGTGTACAATCTCCCTCAGGACCCGCACTGCATCGTCGTTACTCATATTCTCGAAATTGATGTCATTCACCTAGGAGGAGAGGGGATAATGAGGCATAAGAAAAAGGTTTATTTAGACTCATCAGTGGAGATGAATTATTTATTGATGCTGATGATGAAGAATAACAACCAACTGTTTTGGTAGCTGATTAATCAAAGTCTTTTCAACAGAAAAATGTCAGTAATTTCCCAGTTCTAGCTTCTTGATCGGAACAAAAAAATAAAATAAAAACCAGTTGCATTCATACGCATAAATACTTCCTTTGTTTAGGTTTAGAGAGAAACAGATGTGTTCATGTAGACAAGGAATGAATTACAACTGAAGTGAACAAGCACTGATCTGGACTGGATCACCCACTAGAAAAGCTCCTGAAATGAGACCCAGCAGATCTCAAAACCAAACAACCACACTGGTATTTCCCGGATAAACCAGCAGTCCGAGCAGTAATTTAAAAAACTAAATAAATCAAGACATCGTCATTTATATAGGAAAAAGCCATCATTCCTCCTCACCTGCAGCAGCATGTCACCAGGTTCAATGCGTCCATCAGCAGCCACAGCTCCTCCCTTCATGATGGAGCCAATGTAGATGCCTCCATCCCCCCTTTCGTTGCTCTGACCCACTATGCTGATACCCAGGAAGTTGTACTTTTCTGTACGGTTGAGAAATCACAATAATGTTAAGACGAGGTGAACATTAGGTAAGAAAAATGAATCTGAGATATAAGTTTAAAGGTTCATGAGGTGCATGAGGAGAGTACAGACCCATGTTTAGAGTGACGGTGATGATGTTCAGAGACATCGTGGAATCTGTAACACTGCTGAAGGAGGAGGCCTGGAGCAGGAAATGACAACATTACACTACAGACGCTGACGTGACCAAAATATTTAATCTGTTTGCACAAAGTAAATCGTGCGCACACACCCTCTCCAGACGTGGGGGACGCTGTTTCCTCCGTCGACGATGTCGCTTAAGAAGCCTCGAAGCTGTGCTCTGCTCTGTGGCACTGCTGAACCTGTTCAACAAAAGGTGAAAGGTCAAGAGAGAGAAATATCTCATAAACCTTTAACAGGCTTGGTTCTTAAGGAGGTCAACACAAATTTAAGGGACAGCTTCTCTCGCATTGTTTCATCACCTACTGGATACATACGACATTTATCGCTTTCTCACCTGCTCATCGTGTCATCGTCCTCAGAGTCGCAGAAGCTGGTCGTTTCTAACTCGCTGCTCATCACCGTGCTAGAGCTCTCGTATCCTGCCAGGTGGCGCTCCAGACGACTCTGGCCGTTCATACGAGGGCCTGAGATGCCGCACGAGAGTCCCCAAAGACAACAGGAAAATAATCAACATGATTTTTCATGTTTGTGCAAGTCAGGGTTTCCCTATAGAGCCCAAACATTCCTCACTCCTCAGCAACTCTCTGATTATATCAACTTGTATTGAGTGTCTGGGAGATATAGACGTGCCAAATCTTGATAGGAGGCAGTATTAAAAGGATTGTTTTCGTGTGCACGAGTGTCTCACCGTGTTGTTCCATGCTCTCTCTGTGCCGAGGCCTCTCTCTCCTGAAAGAAACTACAGACTCCGTTTCAGTCTGGTCGTCCAAAGTCTCCACGCTGCCTGTTGCATTGGGACTGTAAAAATAAGCACAATTACAGATGGAATTAGAGCACGACTGGATTTCAACACTGGATTTGCAGTAATCAGTGTTTACAACATAAAAGGCATTTCTAACTACATACGTTTTTTATGTTATGCATTTTTGCAATTATAGTAGGCTAGAAAGTACATGCCCTTCCTTAAATTACCTGTTCTTTTAAAGCAGTATTGCCTGCTGCTGTATACGAATATCTAAGCTTTATTTTTTCGTCCCAATTTCTAACAGCTTCCTCTGAATGAAAATGGGCTTAACTGAATCTGACACATCATACAAGTATTTGTATTATTTATTAACTGTCATACAAATAAACAAAGAAAATAAGTGCCAATTTGCTATTTGGAGAACTGTAATATTTTCAAGAGGACATTTGAACAGTCATAAGAAAAGCCTGTCAGTGTTTCTGCTGGACTAACTTCAAAAGAGGCCTTTTTTCTAAATGATCTCATGCTGTTATCTCCCAAGAGACATCGGTAATAAACTAGAATCAGCTGATATCAGTCCATTTCTTTAGTCAAACTCTAGACTATTCTTCAGTTAAACGGAACTACTCACCCTTTTCCTTATTTTCTGTCACATTTACATATTTATATCACGCTATTTAAAAACAACTTGGTGATTGTCCAAATAAGTGTCCTGAGAAGGACCAAGGTCCAGTATAGGCTCCTTAGATGCTGTCAGACTACTCTGGGTCTAATACAAATATAGAGCTGAACACATGTACAACTGTTCCCTTTTAAACACCAAATCAACATTTTAATACATACTTTTAGCGTTATGTGCTTAATGTTGCTTACATTAAAGTTGTCGGTCAGGTACGTGTCACTTTAATGAGGCCTTGGACATATGTATTACATTGTCTCTTATTGCAGTGAAGGCTATAGAACAGCACCATCTCTTTGCTGGTCCAATATTAGCACATTTTCCTACAATGATCAAAAAGTTTAAGACACATGAAGACACAAAGCACGGCATGGTCACTGTGCATTAGAGCTACTGTAATTTTATTGACATCACATAGTGAGCTTTTCATTTTTTTCTACCACTCACATGGATTTCTTCATTTTTGTAAGCTGTGTGTACATCAACACAACCACAATCAGACTGAAAGATAATTAGTTTGCTTTTAAGATTCAGACCCACTGTCCACACTATAAAAACTTAAAAGCACAACTAACACTGGATTCATGAGACCCACAATTAAATGGCTGGTTAAGCATTTCGCAGCTCGATTGTTTTTTAACATACAAAAAAAACAAAGAACTTTCCCCCAAAATCAGTTTCTCATAGCTTGGTGTTATATCTACACTGATAATACATCAGCATCCAGTACCCCGGAGACCACCCAGTCATAAAAACAGCTGGTTAAACTGAACCTTTTCTTTGGTACCAGAGACCCTTTCATTTGAAGATTGTCACGTATGAGCAGTAAGGTGTCGGTCTAGCTCCAAACATATTATGGAAACAAATAACTAATTTACTTTTTCTTCTTTACTTCCTTACTAATGACTCGTGAAAAAGCAGTGTGCAGATATACTTGGTTTTTTATAAAGATAAAGGATGGACTATGGTTATAACTATAGTTTTCAGTAATGTTGGATTGGTCATATCAATATCAATATTAGATTACATGAAAGGCAGCAAACATCGATGTATATCTAAGCTGGTGACGCTGATTAGATTCACTCACTGAATTCTACCTTTTTGATTAGCTTTAAACTGCCCAGGTGTTAGAAATCATCCCTACAGCTATTGAATCATCTGTTTATATCCTGTTGAGTTCAATTGGCTCGATCCACAAAGAGCAGTGAATATCAGAGTAGCAGTTCATCACAGCTGACCTGTGATTTATGTACAATAAAGCGAAGATCTACTGGATATCCCAATACAAAACAGTGTGCAGCCACTTCTGATTTTTTGGCCCACACTGATACACATTTTTGCTACACCTGATCTTACAGCTTGCCCACCTGTGAAGTCCCACTTTAACCTTCTTCGTACATATATGTACAAGCTGTACAATATGACATAATATAATACAAATAAATAATAAATAGTTATTTTGAAATTCATACTGGTTTTTTGCTTTTTTAAAAGCTGTCCTAATCACACACGTGTGTGTGCGCGCATGCATGTTTTTGTTTGTTTGTTTTAAAAAATGAAATGACTACATGTAAGATGAGATCTCATTCTTGCTCTAAAGACTTGTATTAGCTTGACAGTTTTTAAGCTTCATTCACTTCGTTTTGCTTTTTCAGCTCAAAACTAATGTTTTTGGTAGCCTCGCTCTCAATGGAGGTTCTGGTAAACCCAGCGTTGAATACCTGCCCAGGAACTGACAGCAAACAAAGTGAGAAACCAGTTGGTTCGCTGCTATTAGCAGATATTTCCAAAACAGTGTTAAACAAGAATAATCACTAGGAAACTGTTTGTTGACACATTTGTCATATCAACTTAATGTGATGTTACAGTTTTCTGCAGTAACCCCAACTATCCAAACCAACTAGACCACATTTCACAACATTTCAAAGCACACTGGAAGTTCTTGAATATGGCAAAAACATACTCAAACTGTGTGAGGGAACACTTCAATCAGATCTGTCTACTCAGGGATTGAAAGCTTTTCCTTGTGTCAATAACAAGGGCGGTCCCAGCTAAGATCGGTTTCAAATGAGCTCACATATTCGTGCGTAAACCTGATACTCTGAGAGTGTGAGATATTCAGGTAAATATACAGTTTCTAATTAAAACTATAGGAGGAGCACAGGTGTGTGCTGCAAGTCTTCAAGTACAATGGGTGAAAAGTGGTGGATCATCCCAAAACTACATGAGATCAGCTTGAAGACAGTTGGGATCACAGTCGCTAAGAACAACACTGGTAACACACTTGAGCACAATGCAATGAAATCCTGCAGCGCACACAACATCCATACATGCCACCCTTCCTGATTTTTCTGTGAGAATCCCGAATTTCAGTGCCATCCATCCATCCATTCGTTACCGCTTATCCTTTTCAGGGTCGCGGGGGGTGCTGCAGCCAATCCCAGCTGTCATAGGGCGAGAGGCGGGGTACTCCCTGGACAGGTCGCCAGTCTGTCGCAGGGCTAACACACAAGGACAGACAACCATTCATACTCACATTCACTCGCACATTCACACCTAGTGGCAATTTGGATTATCCAATTAACCTATCCCCACAAGCTGCATGTCTTTCAGAATTTCAGTGCCCCTGCCGAAAATCTCCCGATTTTCCATCCGGACAACAAAATTTAAAAACCATATCCCAGATAGGCCCAGGCAATTCCAGTTTCCAACAATGGCTACTACTGCAGTTACTTAGTTTTAATACTACTCTAATTATTCTTTCTGGGTCACAAAATAAACTTTTAACATATTTTCAGGCGAGAATGTAGCTGTGTAAACTTGAGCTGACGAGAACAGCAAACTCCCGGCACATCGTTTATAAACCCCCGCGGTCTTTCACTACTCAGGATAAACATGATATATAAGTCACTTAAATAACTTAAACATGTTATTGTTTGGCTTTTTCAGTGTTTTATTTGTTCGTGAGTAAATCGGTTTGGCTGAGATTAAAATTATTCGATTAGATTAAACAAAACTTTATTAATCTCTCGGGAGGGTTCCTCCGGCGGTTTTCACACAGCTGAATAAACGTCAGACAGAAAACTGATTAAACTGAAGTGTGAGATGGTCGAAAATGTACGCCAGCGTCCGGATATATTTTAGATAGCAAGGAGCAGACGGCAGAGTTTCACTCCACCGAGAGAGCTCGTGACGTAGTTCTGAAGGCTAGACCGTCCAATTTCACGGTCGCTCATTTCCGGTCAACCCGACCCACTTAGACCACGAAGGCCGGGTCCTCAGGTGGACCCAGCCTCTGAATTTGGACACCTCCGCTGTTTCCAGCCGGACAATAATAACAGTGACATTTAACTTATTTTATCCGATAAATAAACACTGTAAAATTCAAATCTAGCTCTTTGACATCATCTCAACCAACTGTGTTTGAAAGGAGGAAAATGCTGAGCACATCCCTGCAGTTCAGGAGTTGGAACCATTATTGGGGCTGTTTTTCTGCTAAGGGGACAGGATGACTTCACTGCATCGAGGATGTCAATGAACAAGACATGTAATATACAATCACGGACGAGAACCTCCGTCTCTCAGCCAGAACGCCGAAAACGGGTCATGGATGGATGTTCTAGCATGACCAAAAAATCACCAAGGCAACAAAGGAGCAGCTACAGATGAAGCAGGAAATCATGAAGTGGCCTAGCCAGTCTTCAAACCTCAGACTTACACAAACTCTGTGGAGGAAGCTGAAGTTTTGAGCTGCCATGGGGCAGCTAAGAAAGGATTTAAAGATTTGCGCAAACCTGGTGACCAACTACAAGAAACATCTTACAGCTGTGCTTGCTAACAAGAGTTTCTCCACCAAGTACTAAGTTGTGTTTTACTTGTTGATCAAATACTAATTTCATGACAGTGACATGCAAATCAGTTTAAAACTTTTATGTAAAGTGTTTTTTTCAGGATTGTTCGCTGATGTTCTGTCTCAGTCCATTAAACTAAAACTACCTTAAAATTTGAAACTGTTCATTTCCTGATAAGTGAGCAAGCTTGCAAACTTCAGCAGGGGATCAAATAATCATTTCCCTCACTTTAAATACACAGTAAATGATTCACGTGTGTGTGTGTGTGTGTGTGTGTGTGTGTGTGTGTGTGTGTGTGTGTGTGTGTGTGTGTGTGTTGCTTACTGGAAAGATGGTGGTCTGGAGTCCCCGATGCCCCCGGTCCTCTCTGCAGGTGGGGGAGGAAGGGGTGGCGGAGGGGGCAAAGGCTGGGTAGTTGTTTCCACAGGGGGGACCACTGCCACTGGAGGCTCTGCTGCTGGAGTGTCTGAAGATACCAACTGATATATAAAAGGAAGCAAAATAAAAGATTTAGAGACAACACAAAAAAAAAATAAAGAGAGGAAAGAATCTGAGGTAAAGGTCGAGGGAAGCAGGATGGAAAGTATTAGGAAAAAAGTAGGCAAGTATGTGGAGTGGTGAGAAACTGGCACAAAGTAAGAGAGGGCAGAGAGACGAGAGGGTGAAAAAAAAAAGAAGAGGAATGAAAGGACGAGAAGGAAGGAGGTGGAGGGCAGAGGGAGGAAAAACGGGTACTATGTCAATTACTTTCACATACAAACACTGTACTCTTTTCAGACGAAGGTCTCAAGGGCAAACTGAAACGCTATCCTACACTTAACCTGTCTCTCTTCATTATACAACAAAAGTGTCCACACACACACATACAAGGGGAGAGAGAGGTATCACACATCAACAATTAGGATGAATGGCATATAGCTTCCAATTACATGGACCATAGAAACACAGAGAGCGGAGTCCAGGCCTTCTTACATCACTGCAGAGCCCACACATAACGTTTCTTATTATAAACTTCATATGAGCTCCAGAGTTTGGGAAGTTTGGTGCATTCAGTGACTTCATATAAACATGCTTTGTATTTCCTGTCAAAATAACTCAACCAAATGTCCACAAGCATGTGCACAGAGACGTTCGCCCACTTTATCCAGTCACTCCCTGCTTTTTGCGCTCCATTAATGGCTACGTAACTGTGAAACACTCATCTTCTGGGATCCCTTCATCCATCTCTCTGTGCAGATCGCATATCAGTCCCTCTGGTGTCTGAGCTTTGTTCTCCCTCTCTTTGAGTTCTTATGCACTTAACAGATGCTCCAGCCCCTGTCCTTCTTATCTGGGCCAAGTCTCAGTGTTTTGTCTCCTTTTAAATGCAACCCGCAGGGTGGAGTACAACAACTGGGTCTTCTACAAGAGAAATGGAAAGTATGAAAGTTGTACCTGGCAACTCGCTGTGCTATAACTGCTAACAAGCCACGCTGGGTGCAGCTCGGCTCGAGTATCAGTTAACACAATCAGAGAAACATTTGCTTCCTTCGTGAATTTGTTTGGCAAACTTAAAAACGCCTTTTCTATCTCGACATGCTCATTTAAATGTTTGCATATGTTAAATTCCGTGCGGCTACAGAATTTTAACTTGACTTTCTCGCCTAATACTATTCTATGTGTTTGCACATGGCCAAGTCATGCATTGCTGCATGTAAACAACTGTGATGCATGCTTTCCTGCTAATATCGCCTTCTAAATCGGGGGTCCAGTTGTTCCAAAATAGCTCAGCTTGACAATGCAGTCACATTGTAGGATATCAATGTGTAGACAGAGTGAAAATTTTAATGTTGCTGGTCAACATTTTAGCTGCGAGTTGACTAAAAAAAAAATTTAAGACACATTTAAAATGAATTTAAGACCATTTAAATCTTTTAAGGTTGTTTATTAGCAAATACGTATTTAAGATAAAAGCTTTATAAGGACTTGCAGCCACCCCGGCCAGATTTGACAATTACTCTGACAAAGAAAACAATGAACTATCTTTTTAATGAGAGCCAGTTTAATATAGCATCTTGTTTATAGTATTGAGTTTTTGCTGACATTGATGTAAATGCGTAAATTTAATAATAGGCATTTAGTTTGTGCTTTGACAATAAGGACCTCCAAGTCTGAGGTCACAGTTCTCAGCTGGAAAGGGGTGGGATGCCCCAAGTGGGGTAATTTAAAGGGTCACTGAGGTGTGAGTGGAGCATGAGACTGGTATACTGGTGAGGTGTCAGCAGTGATGCTATATCAGTCTGTTGTGGTGAAGTAAGAGTTAGCTTGAAAGCAAAGCCGCTGCTCTACCAGTCGATCTACGTTCCTACTCCGACCTACGGCCCTAAGCTGTGGGTATCCACTGAAACTACGAGATGGCAGACACAAGGAGAAGGAAGTGAGCTTCCTCCAAAGGGTGGCTTGGCCCAGCCTTAAAGATAGACTGTGGAGTTGGTAGTTAAGGAGGCGCTCAAACTGCAGCTGCTAATGCTCCACACAAAAAGGACCCAGTTGAGATTGTTCAGGCATCTGACTAGGATGCCTCCTGGATGCTTCTTGGTGAAGTGTTTTGGGCATGTGTTAGTGGGAGCAGGCCCCGGATTAGACCCAGGCCTGAAACTGCCTGCGTTGTCCCCCTTGAAAGAGCTAGAATAAACGTCAGGGAGACAGGGAAGTCTAGACATTTCAGCTTAGACTACTGTCCCACAACCTGGACCCAGATAAGAGGCAGAAGATGGATGGATGGAAATTTTGTAAACTTTCAATTTACACAAATAGCAGAGGAAACAACACAAAAACACCTATGAATATAAAGCAGATAAGAGCTTTATCTCTACTGCCCTCGGTGTTAAAACACATAACGGGGTAAAACAAATGGTACAAAAAAGACCCCTCTCAAGCTGAATGGAAGCATAACTATGATATGGAAAATATTTGTAGGGACCCTCTCTCAGAAAAATGGAAAAAGTGCATCAGCCTTACTGCAAACATGGACATCATGTCTGTCTCCAGGTTAAACTGTGCGTGCTTTCAATTGACAAATCTCTTTAAAATGTTTAAAAGGGAAACAAAATGTCATACAAAGAAACGGTCAGTTCAAGGCGCTCAGTGTAAGAAAATTCTCAAGTGACAAAAGAGAGTAACAGTCTAGCAAAACTACCAGTGACTCAGACTGCTGATAAAGCTCCAAGGACATTTTCCCCATACATCTGCTGAATCTGCTCCCTCCTGTTTTACCTGGGTGGACAGTTACTCTGGTTCAGTTTTTTTCCTGTTCCAAGTTTCCAAACGTTTCACCAAAGAGCAAGCCAGGACCAGATGTGCAAACTCTCTGATGACATATAATTGCGCAAAGTTAATGGCTAAAAATCTGAAATCTAATTACTTCATTTTACTGCTGCTGGTTAGACAAGACTGTTGGTCTGAGGGAGGTCTGAAGGAAGACACAGGAAAAAGAAGAGGTGGTTTTTGCAAACACCCTCTGGCTAAACATGATGTAGGCTTATTCTTGAGATTAAAGTTAAGTCTTGACATTTTCAGACAAGCCTCAAGAGGAAATGATGGAAAAAGAAAGGTTAGCAGGGAAATGTGTATAGCTTCCACTCCTGCTTTAAAAAGAAAATAAACAGCAAGTTTATCATCTCTTACCCATGACACCACTCTGCCGTTGAAACATGGCAACTTGGCACTGTCGTCTGAAATCTCTTCCTTCACCACCCTGAAGAACAGAGACACACAGGGAGGTTCAGTAGGTTTGAACGGTTCTGGTTTTCTGACATCATGATAAGTGTGATCTGTATGGTACACTGCAGTGGAGAAAAGAGGGCTGAAAACGACATTAAGTCATAGATGGAAAAAGTGAAAGTGCGGAGGGGAATTAAACAGTTTACATTACCGACACATTACATGAAATATATGAGCCCGTGACAACAACACAGCTGCACCAAATCAAAGTGCCAGGGTTAACTCAAAACCCATCTGGGTAAATCATCAGCTTACAGCCACATCAATGCAGCTGCAGTCGATCACACTCATATTAAAACTGATTTCACGGAAAAACTGGACGGCTGGGAGGAGGATCGCATTCGGCCAAACCTGAGGAACATTTTCTAAAGAAACAAAAAGGATAATGAGTTTAAAGGCTTTTGTTTTGTGTTTTTGGTGGGTGGTGGCCCAGTCAGATTACTTGCTATGAAGAGTAAAGGCAATAGAGATAAGAAGGGGTTCAATTCATGGCTGAACAGAACCTCTCTGGGAGGTACAAAAAATTCCTTTATAAGAAAAACTTGGTTTAAGGATAAAATAATTTGCATGTTTTTGATTATAATAGGGAATTGATTGTATAACACATCCAAGTATCTCAGCAACACTACCAAACTAGGGGCTGGCAAAAAACACCCCTGAAGTGTGACGACAGCAGAAGAAAGAAACTAGTGTGACCCAGTCGAGAGTCTCAAAAATATCTCTGAAATGAAATTAAACGAAACAAGGGCACAGAAATTGTATTAAAAATGTTTTGAATTCAGTCAGCAGAGGTAGAGGAAACCTTGCCTAGGACTGGCTTTTTTAGCATTTGTAGTCACACACCAGGGCTTATCTAATTGTTGGGGTTCTCTCTGTAACAATGTACCATCTTAATCCTGCAATAACCCTGCAAGTATCTTTGAGCGATTGCTGTTGTGAACTGGGACTATATAACTAAACCTGAACTGAATTATACTGGCTCCTTACTGAATAGGCTATTAGGGGAGGATGATCTTTACAGTAAAGCTGATGAGCCTCTGTTACTTCCTCTGGCACAAATCCATCACCTTTCTTGTTCTTTCGGACTATTGTATTAACAAAATTGCACTTATTCTTAAAGTGCGAATGCGACTTCCACAGTGTTGGCGAGGTGTTGATTGTTCAGTCATTTTGCAAATATCTTAGTTGTACACAAAGGAGAGCCAAAACAGTCAGTCTCCTTCCTGCCCTCAGATTCCTTGAATGTAGATCAAGTTGATCTAAATGTAATGTAGCAGTATTGTAAGAGGTTTAAATGAATATTAAAGCAACAATTAACTAATTTAGCTTCAGTTAGCCCCCATTAAAAGTAAACTCCACACCAGTATAAGTACAAGCTTATCACTGGGATCCTGCTTCTAATCTTATTTCCAAAATACCACCCAAGTCATGGAGCCATGAATCAGCACACTAACAACAAACATCACAAAACTGCTTCACAGACACTGAGGAATTTCTTCTTTTACCACAATGAGCTAAAACACATTGAGCCTACTTGTGAATTACACAACCCGGTCAACTAAATCTGCATGCAAAGCCATTACAGATAACAGCAGCTACTTAACATTAATAGCCAACATGGTCTAAATTCTTTAAAGACAACACATCCGTCTGGCAGTTTTCCCCTCCTCCATCTAAGACTTCCATGTTTACAGAGAGGCAAACACTTGGCTTCAGCTACAGTAGTTCCAAGAGACCGAGCTGGGCGTAAGTGCTACATAGAAGACACTTGGCTGTTCAAGCGTCTCCAAAAGTCTCCTTTTTCCAGCTTCACATGCCAGCATACCTCCTCTTAAGTGTGTGAGACTTGGTCAGGCTCCACTGGGCTTTTGTAAGCAGCTGTTGAGAGCTGGTTTTGTGGGTGCATGCTAGCATACAGCCGGATTGTAGTGGGCACTATTGAGGATCTGCTGCAGGTTTTGAGAGCCCTGTCTATGTGGCTACTGATGTAGCTAACAATATTTTTTCTTCCTATCCATTATGCTTTTTCAGCACAAATCTGCACCTAGACGGCAGATGGACAGATGCACAAATTGTCTGCAGAGAGTAAGATTGTCGTCATTCCTCTGTCCCCCAAACAAACAAGAGACCACAGTCGAAAGTCATTTCACTCACATACTGAAATGCCTCGAATACAATGCATAAACAACTCTGAAATATGCAGAGTCCTGTTGGATTAACTTAAACTTTTCCCTGCCGACTACCATTCTTCAAGTCCCTTGCTACCCTTAAATTCCTCACTCTCAACACGGCATTGCTGTTCTAACAATTAATCTTACTCAAACAGCTCCCTGATCCCTTCTCAGCGCACATGTATACAGCAGAATATCCAGTGACTCTAAGTGAACACCACCCTGTTCCTTCTCTCCCTTTCTTCTCCCCATAGACACCCAGCAAATGGCCCCTGTCCAGGTCCAGGTTCCTAGCACCAGCCCTGGCCTGCTCTGCCACACACACAGATCTCCTCGACAGCTGGCCTCAACCCAGGACAAATGAAAACACACACTATTACACACTCCTCTCCTGGTTAAGAGAGAGCAGGGGGAAGAGAGGGGGAGAAAAAGTCCCTGCTTTGATTGGACAGCTGACTCAGAGCTATGTTTGAAATTTTTCATCTGAACTCAGTTGGAGATATTCAAATGAGAGAGCATGATGCCAGACAGTGCAATTTAACTTAAAGACAGGCCATACAGTCTTTGAGAGTTTCCAGAGGGTGGCTCGTTTGAGACGTTTAACATTTAGTACTCACACACAAGCACACGGGGTCTAAACATAATCATGTGTTACCCAGTTACACAGGGACAAGCTCTTAATCTGACAGTTAACTTACAAAGTCTAGTAAAGGTAACATAATAAACCGACACGCTGACTGAAAAGCTCGCCAATTATCTTACTATGCACATGACAGCTGCACACACACACACACACACACACGCACTCTTTGGGACATTAGACTAAAACTAATACAACAGACCTCCAAAAAGTCTGGAAAGTTTCCTTTTTGTTAAAGTTTCAAACTTCATGTTGGTAGCGTCAGTTTGTGGTGCTTTTGAAAGGAAATTCAATAGAAAATAAACAGTCAGTGAGCAGAGTATCAAGTAACATGTTTTCTTCATGTTACATGTAATAAACAGTAAGTGATTATATTAGTATATATATATATATGGAAGATATTTGAAAGCGTCACCTTAATGGTGAAGTCTCTTTTTCTTGTTGTTATTTGACCTATTTAATTGATTTTTAGTTCAATCTTGTGTATTTTTATCATTTAGTTCCAATGTACACCACTTTGTGTTCGTTTTAGTTCTTTTAAACTGTTTTATAAAAAAAAAAAAAAGAAAGATGCTATAGTATGGTATGCTTAGGTGATGGATCCCAAATCCTACATACGGGTTTCAAATACGTAGGCCAAACATGGCCATCATTGTGTACGTACTAGTCTAAAAACCTATGCCATAACCTGCCACACATCTCCCTAGAAATGTAAGTACACATCGTTGTCTGTGCAGCTCCTACGGGTATAAATGCAGACGACAGTGTTTGGCACTTGCTTGGGCTCTACATTACTAGATTTGCTGCTCACTCATACAACAGCAGGTTGCCAAACACAAGAAAGCCCCACCATAATGCTGTGTTAGAGATTTGTATGAAAGTCCAGATATCCGAGTTCTCAGCTGGAATGTTTAACTGGAACGTACCCCTCAACTTGAATTTCCTACTTAGAAAAACGAAGCAGTCCCATAAACCCCGAGGTTACTATCCAAAATGGTACTGGTAATGGTAAAGAGTATAAAAACTACAACTTCTGTGCATTTGTGATTCACTGAATAAGCCATACGCAGAGCACAGGCCAGGCTCCAGCCACGAATGTGCTGCAGCGTTGTTTTTAAGTGCAGAAAAACAAACACTATACTGCATTACTAGTGCTACACCACTGGCTCTACCTTAATCAAGAGCAAAACAAATCCTGCTTTTCCTCACTTTTACAACGTTCCCACTAAACACTCTAATTCTGGAGTGACATCACTTTGTTCACTTCTATGCAAGCAGACTTATTTTCACACCCAGAAGAGTCGCCCCCTACTGTTTATTACAAGGTACTTCCACATTAGCTTCACTTTTCAGAATTGAAAATCATGCCCATCCATCCAAAAACTATCCATCTTTTATATACTGTCTAGGCTCAACGCTATGATGTAAACAGCTCGACTACATTAGGTAAACTGCAACTTCCAATCTTTATTTATTTATATATATATTTTTATTTATTTTTTTTTTTT